ATATCTAATAATAAAATGCAAATATTTAAAGATCTTTTGCAGGATCCGGCACGGCAGGCACTGCAGGCACAAGCTCCAGAGGTGGAACAACGACAATCACAAGCGGCAAGCCATTAGGAGGCAGGAGGAGCAATTGAAAAGAAAGTTTCCCCGTTGGAAAATTGAAGGGTAACAAGAAAAGAAAGCCGTTCCACCGACCAGAAAAGAGAGAGCACGACCACCCCCAGAATGAAGAAGGGAGAAGTACGACGAATGCAAAGAGAGCCAGGAGAAATAACGGCAACTATAACCCGGCTCCTAAACGGAAGATCTACCCATCGGACAGGAGTCTACGCAGCAAATGTCGACGAATTAATGAAGGAACACTAGCTGCGGAGGCAAAGAAACAAGGAAAATTTGAACAGCCAGCAACGAGATCCAAGCAGGAACGAGAGAGAGTTGTCCCTGTTCCGCCAAGACCAGCTGACATCAAACGGCCGAGACCACAGGCAGAGGCTAAAAAGAAGGTCTTCAAGGGTGACCGAACTGAAAGGAAAAGAAAGCTCATGGAGGAAGGAACTGAAGGGCGAACCCGCACAAGACGGAAGATCAACCAGACTGTAGTCTTCGCTACTTTCCAAGCGTGGGCAGAGAAAAGGATGTCTGCATATCACAAAGATAAGTAAAACTTCATGTTACTTTGAAACCTTAAGTTAATTTTTCATTCTTACTGCAAGTGGCAGAATTCAAGAAGTTTTACCTCATGTGAGGCCTACCTTTATCGCCAAAAAGGCGAGAAATGAGTTGTTACCTATTTTGATATTGTTTTTCAATTACTCGCGAGTAAAACTAAAATTAATGTATAGTAGGAATGTGCAAATACTTGAATATTGCAAAAGCATTGATAATCTTTGATAAAGGTACCTTAAGAAAATTGTAAAAAAAAAAATTATTGTATAAAATTTTATTTAAAATATTCTGGCAAGAAAGAAGTTTTAGTCTGAAAGACTTTTGAAATGTAGTATTTCAATGTAGAAGAATTGGCACTTGCTTGGAAAAGAATAGAAGTTAACAATGTACTACTAATGTATGTTTTAAAATGCGTAAAATTAACGGCATGTTTATATACAATTAACGGCATCCTTATATACAATGTGAACTGTTATTTTAAACGTTAAGAAATACTGTGATATGTTAAAAGTGAAAGTAATGCCAAAAATTTTAACTTATTCGTTTGACTGTAAAAGAGCAAATTATTGTGAATATGTGTTAAAGGTTGAATGAATGTAGTTAGGCTCTCTGACGCTACACTTCAGAGTTAGCCACTTTTCAGAATAGTACCTCAGGGTTTAGAGATGAATATAAGGTGTGTTCTGAGGTCTTGTTATGTTGAATTTTAACACGTTAGTGTGTTGATTGCAGGCGGTAGTGTTGAACACTTGTACATAGACACGCTCGTGTTTGGTGTTTTTCTTTACAACACATGTCAGAGAGCACGGGGAGATAATTAAATAACGTCATGAATGAAATAAGAATGTTAAAAGAGAAATATAAGTATTCATGTTACTTGCCATTTAATTGTGTAACATTTCATTAAACTAGTTTTCCTTCCAGATCTCTGGAAGGAAAACTAGTTTAATGAATCCAGATTTCAACTAGGATCCAGATTTCAACTAAGAAACTCCTGTTTAGATGCAGTGCAGATGAAAAATCTTGTCCATGGAGTTGATAATGTAAAAACGACTTTTTTAATTTCTAGTTTCTAGTGAGAAATGTTTGTAAAAGATTGGCCTCGCGTTAGATTCTAGAGCTAAAAGTTTTCAACAAGGTCGTTTTAGACCTCAGTTTCAAACTAATTAACTCTGGCGGGAAGTATGTAAGGATCCTAAGTTTTACTAACGTTTATTTTATTTTAAATCTTTACTATCACTTCTTATTTTCTACTTCCGGCCATAATTAAAAGCTTTTAACTTATTTATACAAATTTGTCTTGCTAACGCCAAGTACTTAAGTTGTGGCTTTTTGCCAAGCAAGAGAGAGGAAGGAGTTATTAGAAGCAGGCCGCTTGCCATAGTAGTTTTACTCGGTTGCTGGTTGCCTTCAAGGCCAGAGGTTTAATCCTCGTGATAATTTTAAACGTATCGTAGTTTTAGCAGCTCTCTGTACTACATACGGCTTTTTGTTAATTAACGGCCAATCTTGGAGCTAGGCACTTGTTTATTAATCCAAAGTTAGTTTAGTTAGAGTTTTAGTTAATATTTTTTATATTCTTATTTTCAGACCACAAGTGGTTGGTCTCTGTATTCCGAAGTCCGGAAATCTCTGTAAAGATAGAAAAATAAAGGGTTTCGTATACCCTTCCTGTGTAGCTCTCCGAATCAGGACAGTTCATGTTCCCAAAGCAAGTAAAGACGGTAACCAGTCCTGATAACCTCAGTAGGTTTACTACTAATACTACTAACAGTTGCATTTTGAACACTATAATCGGACAATTTATTGTTTACAGTAGCAGACTTCCCACTAATTGCGTTAGCATAGCCAACGCCTGGTATTACATTACTTCTATTAACATTATTTCCTTCATTTGACACATTTGCTTATTTCATTACTTTGAGCTATTTTGACGTTCCTAGCAGTGGGAAACTTTGGACAACCACGGTAATCGGCTGTGTGCCCCGGTTGTTTACAGTTACAGCACATGACATTATCTATACGTTTGGCTTTACAATTTTCAGTTTTGTGCTACCCCGCGCACTTGACACATCGAGGCTTTAGTTTACAGTTATCTGATGAATGGTGGAAGTGTTGACAGTTATGACACTGCACAACACTTCCGACAGAATTATAAGGGGTAACAGAAACAAAAAAACACATGAAATAAGTTAAATTATGAATTTCCTCCATCGGAACCCTGGTACGTTCTCCAACTGTATTTGAAATAGCGGCATCGGAACCTTTGTTTTTAAGTTATGCATTTGTGAAACTGCATACCTAATAACCAAGTGCAACTAGCTCTTCATATATTTCGTCCTTGGAACAATATAGGGAAAAGTCCCTGAAAACAACTTTAATGGGTTTATCCACTTTACTGATTATAAAATAGTGATCAATTCGTTTATCTTCCAGGTACCTTGTAATTACCCTATGGTCACTTTCAGTTTTCGTGAAAACTTTCTATAATTCGCCATTAATTTTGGCCGCAAATTCTAGTTTTAAGTCGTTTTTAATTTCTTAACAAAATCAGAAAATTTTTCTGCCGGTTTTACCATAATAGGTTTAACTTTTGGGGGCCTCAATTTTAGTAATCTCGGGCTCACCCTGATCCATTATGCCATTACTATTATCATTTGCATTCAAGTTACCGAATTTAATGCTAACTGGGATTTTCACATTACATTTAATCAATTTAGCTGGTGCGGCCGGTTTTTTCGGCAAAACAAAGCCATCAGAATCAATAATTTCAGTAGCTCACCTCTAATTCTTTTTAGATGGCCGCTTGGGCTTAGCATTAATAATATCCACATTATCATTAACATTAGATTCAGAATTGCAAACAATTACTTCAGAACAATTTTCTACATTAACATCAACAGTCTTACAAGCATTAGAGTTAACATTTTTAAGTTACCAGACATAACTTTTTGAATAATATCAGTAATACTTAAATTAACACAGTCAGGATTATGTGCACCAAAAAACTCACACTTACCATTATATATCCTTAATAGTCTTTCGGCGAATCCACGTTCCCTGGTATACAAGTTCCGAAGAAACAGAATATGTTGTTCAGCACCTTCAGAGTTGCTCATTGTTTCCAAGTCCATATCGATCAACGTAATCCTATTTTTTAACTTTTCAATGTTCTGTAACAAACACAAGTAGTCTTCTAGTATTAAAGTTTCCGCATTTATTAACGCACCCCAATTATCTCCTAGATATTTATCTAAGGAATGATGCATTTTATCCGTTAACTCTAGCCCGTGGTTCCTAACCACAGATGTATCCATTTTAGCCGTAGGGAGTTCGTTCCCCAACATAGCACGTGGTCACTAATCCTTGGCGAAATATCACTATTCACTGCACACAAAAGTTACACAATTTAGAAGTAATCCACATACGCGTAAATCCAATACAATGAAGAAACAGCATAGAATTACCTGTGAGCTCAAAACAGCAAAAAGCACGTGGACAGTAGAAAACCTGTAATACCATCAGCAAAGCTGGAATGGTATGACATCATCTCGAAGATTTTAAGGGTTTTAAGGTGTATGAATACTCTTTACGTTTTGTGTGTCACCTTTATTTATTAAATATCATGTTCCTCGCACTCAAACCATAAAATTCAATTTAACAGCAATGTCGCGAAATGATTTAAATAGAGCATATCTATAGAATTTTCAATACACAGTCTCGCGTACTGGAGACAAAAATGTGTTTTTTCGTACAGTGTTGCCATTGCTAGCTTTGAAATCGTTGAGTTTCTTAATCAAAACTCATAAATGCTTTACAAAATATGAAATAGATAATAAAACAAATTCCAAATTTGGTCTTCCAGATGCCCATATTCGAGTGGAGAACTACGTTATTCAAAATTTGATGGCTCTAGGTACCGTTGTTTTTCCACAATGCGAGAAACATACATACATTCATACAGATTCTTCAGGGCTCTAATATTTGGTGGCAACAATTTTAAAAGTGATTCACACTTTAGTAGTGAACCAACGGAAAATGCCAAAACGAAATTAATAGGCCTTCTGGGCTAACGACCATTTGGGCTAAAAACTATTCAAAAAGATAAATATAATAAAATAACTAAGAGAAGTTTGTTAAGTTTAAAATTAAGCGAAATTTCACCATAAACTGAGGATAATTTTAGATAAAATGTCTAACGTTTCAAAAGACGGATCATTCTTAAAAAGGTAAAGGCTAAAAATTAGGTTCTACCACAATACCAACAATCCTGTGATGTGATAATATTTCCTTACAAGATTAATAGTAGAATTTCAAAATTTATGACTTACCTCATGGTTTTGTTCAAAATAATTCCCTTTGACAAAAACGCATTTATATAAAACTGCATCTCTGTGATATCATTATTAGAGATAACATATTCTTAAAAATGATAAATTGTTTCTTGGAAACATTATCTTTCTAAATAATACTTCTTAAAGTTATGCACCTAAACTATGGATTATAAAGTATCGAATGAAGTGGTGAATGATATGATCCCGATGTTTTCAGATATCTCAGACAAAAGCACTCAAGTGAAGAGTTAAATCTCTGATAACACAATGTTTTATCAATAAATCCAATGTCATGCAACACCGTTTTGAAAATGCAAGGGTTTTCTAACACCTCAAAACCATTGTCATTTGCGAACCTACAAATTGTGTGAGTATTTATCCTGGGTGAAGGAAATCGACCTCATTTTTCTTCTTTAAATAATCATTTCTGTTAACAAGTCTCATGATTATCGGTGTAGTGCAGGAAGGCGGACAGACTCAACTTCTAGGTCTTTAAATTCGAGTTTCACATATACCTGAAGGCTGATAAAAACTGGCATAATTTCACTATAGAACGTGTGCATACATTAAAAATCCTAACTGAAGTTTTTAAACTCTTGGAAAAGTCTTATTAGTTTTTCTTAGCAGTTTTCTCTATACAATCGGAAAATAGGAGATTATTGCGAATCGATTAAGCCTGATTGGCAGACAGCACTCAGATGCTCTGTCTTAATTAAAATCAACCACTAAACCTTTTCATATGGAAACTACAGAGTTCAACACAAGGATAAACCCTTCTTAAAATGTCTGCTTATATCTTTTGCTACAAGTTGCCTCCTATTTTAACTTACAAAGAGGTTCCCACTTCTGCTGTTAGATAACTTGCTAACATCCAGCCAATGACAGTCTAAAAAGTTGACCATCATCAACTGAAGCTATCTTTCACTTTATGTATTTTTAATATATTAAGATTTTATAAACATATCATATTCGTTTTATCTTTAACCAATGAAATCAGAAGGTGGCGGCCACATTCATTCATTACCAAGGTAAATAATATTTAGATTTACTACTGTCATTAGGTGAAATCCTATAAAGAAAATAAAACAATAAAAATATACAAAAAATAAAAAATGTGAAAAGTTTCAGATTTTAAATTACGTCCAAAGGGGCGTTTTTTTTAACGTTTTGTGTGCTACCTTTATTTATTAAATATCATGTTCTTTGCAGTTAAACCATAAAATTCGGTTCAACAGCAATGTCGCAAAATAATTTTAAAATGAACATATCTTTAGAATTTCCGATACACAGTTCTGCGCGCTGGATATAAAAAGGGAGATTTTTTTTTTTCCTCCCCTCTTCGTAGAGTGTTGCCATTGCTCGCTTTAAAATCGTTTAGTATGTTAATCAAAAATTCCTTGAAGTGTAACAAAAGATGAAATTGGTAATAAAACATATTTCAAATTCCAAATTAGGGCTTCCAAAAGCCCACATTTGGTGGAAGGTTACGTTATTCCAAATTCGATGGCTCTGGGTACAGTTGTTTTATCACAATGCGAAAAACATACATACATTTATGCAGATTCTTCATTATTTAATTTCTTCAAATATAATACAGGGCGATAGTATTTGGTGGCAACGATTTGAAAAGTCATACAGCCTTTTAAAGTTTTCAACGCAAATCGAAAACAATAATTTCAGGGACAAAGCAACCTTTGGACTAAAACGTTTTTAGATAATCCTTTATTTAAAACTCACAAAATAATTAATGAACTTAAAAATTAAAAATAATTTATTATGTAATTTAATGAGAGCAAGAGATCAAATATTCCATATCCTCATCATAATAATCCAAATAATCCTCTTCAAAAAAGGATTCACCCTCTTCAAAGGGAATCCTTTTCAATCCTTTGAAGAGGATCAAGTAATCCTTTTCATAAAATTCATCTACAATTTTATATTACAAACAATAAAAGTGTGGTGTGCCTTAAATGTGTAAAGATAGCGATTTACATTTTTGACAATGCAGTTCGATTATTGGGTTTTGTTAGGCGCCTATACTTTTATTGTTTATGCTATTAGTAATTTAAAATTGTAGATGAATTATGTAAAGAGAATTATTTAATCGCTTACTCCCAATAAACTGCATATTTTTTTACTTTTAGTTCATTAATTATTTCATGAGTTTTAAAATAAACGATTACTTTACAAATTTTTAATTTTTTTTTTCAATTTTATCATTTTAATCTCACTGACATGTTATCAATCGAATTATTTAACTGAAATATTTGTCAACTATGAACAAACACTCTTTTATTCCAAACAATTGTTTACGTCAAAATACCGAAAATATCCAGCGATTTTCCTAAAAAAATCAGAATTGCATCAAAATCTGTTAAAACTTAATTTAAAAGATTTTGTTCGGCTCTATACGATGGTGCACACGATAAAAAATCGGTTCATCACATTGTGCTGTCAACTATAAGCAGTTGTGTGTACTGCATTTTTCACTAATTCTTCAAGATCAATTTTAGAAACATTACTTTTACTGTACTATATTCTTTATATCAAGAATTTTCGAGCTTTCCGCAACAATTAAGTCTAACTACTCATTGAACAGTTTTTAATTCGTTTTCCGTAAATTTAGCAATTACAGACATGCTTTAAACTGTAAACAAAAGTAAACGAAATAGGAAATAATTAAAATCTGAAAGGTTTCAGATTTAAATTCGTCCAAAGAGGCGTTTTTTTTAACATTTTGTGTGTTACCTTTATTTATTAAATATCATGTTCTTCGCACTTAAACATACAGTTCAACATCTCAAAATAATTTTTAAATGAGCATATCTTTAGAATTTCTGATACACAGTCTCACACCCTGGATATAAAAATGTTTTTTCTGTACAACGTTGCCATGGCTCGCTTTGAAATCGTTGATTTTGTTAATAAAAAATGCGTTGAAGTGTTACAAAATATGAAATCAATAATAAAACAAATTCCAAATTTGGACTTCGAGATGCCGATATTCGCAGGAGGATTACGTTACTGAATGGCTCTTGGAAATGTTTTATTACAATGCGAGAAACATACATACACTGATGCAGATTCTTCATTCTTTTAATTTCTTTAATACAGGGCGATAATATTGGGTGGCAACAATCTGAAAAGTGAATCAACACAAAATGCCAAAATGAAATTAAAAGTCCTTCTGGGCAAACTGCCCCTTTGGACTAATAGTAATTATGAAAAAATGATAGGTTCCTTTCCATTTTTCTTCCACAAAGTGTTTGCTTTGTTACATTAAAGAAATTGTTGTAATGAAATAAAGGGATCGGTTCATTACAATGAAGGAATCTTTCTTTATTACCCTTCCTTATATTATAACATAAAAAGGTAAAGGTACAATACATTGAAATAAAAAAAAAAAAAAAAAATCTGAAAGCTTTCAGATTTTACATTACGCTCAAAGTTTTTTTTTTTTTTTTTTTTTTTTTTTTTTTTTTTTAGTGTTGCCTTTATTTATTAAATGTCATGTTCTTTGCACTTAAACCATAAATTCAATTCAACAGCAATATCGCAAAATAATCAGCACATCTTTAGAATTTCGGATGTACAGTCTCAGGCACTGGAGATAAAAATGCTTTTTTTTTCATATAATATTGCTATTGCTCGCTTTGAAATCATTGAGTTTGTTAATAAAAAATACATTAAAATGTTATAAAATTTGAAATCAATAATAAAAATTCCAAATTGGGGCTTCCAGATGCCCATATTCGGTGGAGGATTACATTATTCAAAATTTGATGGTTGTAGGTACCATCGTTTTATCACAATGCGAGAAACATACATACATTTATGCAGCCTCTTCATTAATTTCTTTAAATATAACACAGGGCAATAATATTTGGTGGCAACAATTTCAAAAGTGAAACGGACATTTAAAGTTTTCAATGCAAAATGCCAAAACGAAATTAATAGCCCTTTGGGTTAAAAACTGTTTACATCTCAAATCACATCATTCAAATATACATATATAACAGATTTTGTACTTCAGTTAAACTTGGTTTTGTTTTCTCACTATTTTTTCTACTGCACTCAATACTGAACATGATCCACAAGTCTAATTTTTATATAGTTACCGTTATAATTTAATAAGAAGATATTAGATAAGGTGGTAGACCACTAACCATTTATAAAAGTTATTAGAGCTAGTACAAAATTACCAGAGGTGATTGAACTGGGAAGAATAGCATCATGTTTAAAAATAAATTAATTTTTTAAAATCTGAAATTATAAGATTTTATATTATGCCCAAAGGGGCGGGTTACCCCCATTTAAAAGTTTTAGAAAATATGAAATAGATAACAAAACAAATTCGAAATTTGGGCTTCTAGGTGTCCACATTCAGGTAGAGGACTATGTTATTCAAAATTTGATGAATTTAGGTACCTTTGTTTTTTCACAATGTCAGAAACTTAGACCCTATCACATATGCTTCCACTATGTAGGACTGGACGTCGAAAGAGACATTTCTCAGAACCCGCAAATTTCTACAAAACCTACGTAGCTAGGTTACCATTTTCACTTACTAAACAGACTTAAATGCCAAACAGTAATCGATTATTGCTCAGACTGTGATAACATGATCCTTCAGAAGCAGAACTTTTGTCTGATTGGTTAGTCTCTAACGGGGACAGAGCTGCAGACGAAATATTTTTGGCGAAGTTTCAATATATCCCACATAGCAGAGACATTATTTCCATAGCTAGGCAGGACTTCACTTCCAGCAGAACTGTTTTTTCTAGGAATCCTCCCGTTTAAACCAATGCTACCAGAATCTCATTTCTCAGAAATGTTCCATCTAGCGGAGACCTTCGCTAGATGTGGTAACTCCTTTACATACATTCATACAGATTATTCATTATTTAATTTCTTTAAATACAATATAGAGCGATAATATTTGATGCCAAGAATTTGAAAAGTGATTAACCGCTTTCAGTGATTTGGCTCAAAATACTGTTTGGAGACAAATATCCCTTCTGGGCTAAAAAGAAGAAAAATCTGTACTTAATATTCTTTCCTCAAGAAAAACATTTAAAAAGGGAGGGCATCATAGATGAATTTGGAATAATGTGACTTTTATCAAACATTGGACCTGAAGATGAATGGGAACCTTACTTAAGCTATCCCAATCAGAATGATGAACACAGGCTGATTACTATACTGATGGTATTGGATTTGAATTCCGGATACAGCATGAATGTTAATGATGCCTCTTTTATTCTCTCAGTGGATTAATATTAGTTCTGCCTCTGGTACACTCTATTCAATAGTCATGAAATAGTAAAACAGTTACAGGTATCTATCATGATATCAACAAATGCCTAGTTAGAAAAAACCAGATTATTTAAAAAAAAAAAAAACTTCTATGAGTAATTACATAATTATCATTGGTAATAAAATTATGTTTCAAACAATAACACTTGCAGTGTCACAACAGTGTCTCAACCTAATAATTATTAATAATCCAGATGAGGACTATTACAACCTTTAGAGACATTTGAGTCTCTTCTAATTTATCTTTATAAAGGAATTTACAGTGTTGTGCTATTGTTCAAAAGCATATATGAAAAGACATTCTGTATTTTTATAAATGCAACTATGTTATCAGTTCCCATCAATGTAAAATTCTTCATTAAATAACAATTACCAAAAAGTAATATTTTTGAATTAATAATTAGCTACTGAATTTACTAGAATATTTGATGACTCAAAATAATTTATGTAAACTATTTAAAAGGTTTTACTGACTCAAATACAGATTAGAAAATTAGCACCAAATCGGCATGTGCATGTTATATGAATTAATACATAAACGAAAGTTACAAACAAGTTAATAAAATTTTATTATTTTAACAAAGGATTCAAAATTAGGAAAATAAACATAATATAAAACAATAAATACATTTTATAAATAAACAGATAAACAACAATTTTACAACTTTTATAAAAACAAAAGTTATCCTCTAATTTATACAAAATACACATAGTGGAATGCACTTAGTAGCTTTAAATTTGTTCAATCTTTCTGCAAAAACTTTTGCTGGAGGACCTACAGTGTTATTTATAAATAACTCCTTTAATTTGAACTTAGGAAGTAAATAAGAAATCAGACATATCTAATGTTTGAGATTCAGAATTGGTAAACTGTGGAAAGGTTAATTTATCAAGAGTTTGAGTTTCAATATTAACACCCAATGTCTCTTTATTTGAACAGCCACCAATCATGCTCTGCACATCCATGCTATTTATAAATTTGTATGGATCCTGATTTAGCCCAGGATTGAAAGATGAAAAATCTGTTTGAATTTCTATTGATAACTGATCTGCCTGCATTGGAGAATCATCAATATTTGGGAAATCTTCCCATGGAGTTTGTGTTTCAGTATCAGAAAATTCCAAATCTGAAAAGATGAAATCATCAGTTGTTTGTGTTTCCATATTTGCAAGTAAATTATCATCTAAGATAGTAGAAGCCATAGTTTGCGTGTGTATATCAGATAATGTAGGTTGAGATACTTTATTTTGCAACTCCGGTTTAGAGCAATTCCCAAATACTGAAAAAAGAGAACAAGTTTCACTGGTAATATCCTTCTCCAAAGGTGGATTCTGGAAAGAACTATTTTCAGTACTGTACGTTTTAACAGTAGAATCAAATGCGTTGTCAGCAACGGCATTGTTGGCAAAAATGTTTAACTCAGATAAAGTATTATGGTTTATATCTTCTTGCAAAGTAGTTAATGAATCAACAGCTGCTAGATCAGATAATATTTCGAACGGTGAGCTACAAGTCTCACTGGTATCTTTTTCCTTTGCTACATCATCCCAAGTAAATTTAAATAATTCCTCATCTGTAATTGTTTGAGAGTCACATAAAACCTTGTTAGAATTAGTTTGTGTAGCTGCAGAATTTTTAAAAGATTGAATATTTATATTATCCGTCTGCTGGAATATGAAATCATGGAAACCAGGCCACAGTGACTGATTTAAATCCACATTCTGATCAGTTACAACACTGGCTTCTGTAGTTATAGCTACAGATTTCCTACGAGACCTCCTTTTCTTAATTTTCACAACAGCACTCTCTGCTGTTTGAGTATGAATACTTTCTGTACCTACCTCTATTGATTTTGGAACTCTTCGATTACACTGTGAAGCTTTAGATTCTCGTAGCTTTAGAGGATATTCTAATTCACATGCAGTTTGCGTTGCAATAGTCTTTTGGGACTGAAATTGATGGTTCTGAATACTTTGATCATCACAATGATCAGATACAGAATCAGTTTGATTTGATTGCTCAGTATTGCTCATAAATGACTGAGGTTGGTTAAAAACAAAGTTTACTGGAACTGGCAGTGTTAACAAAACAGGAGGCGAAGCCTTTGGAAGTATAGGTCGTGGTTTTGATGCTGATATTTGCATTGGTTGAACGCAAGTTAAGTTCTGGATGACAGGCTGTATTAGAACTATTACAGGGTTCTCTCTACATTGTACATTCATATTATTTTGCTTCCTATAAAAATAATGGAAAGCATGTATTAGTTTATAATAAAATTGTGTATGAAATTAAATCCAATCACAAATTTAAAATACACTTAATACAATCCAAAAAGCACTCAAAATAATTATAAATGAATTTACTTCAAATACTTGAAAAGAATTTCAAGCATTTATTAGTAACAATATTCCAATTTTTCAGTACAGTGCATCTTCGCTATCATTATTTATAACACTGTACTCCTTTCTGAATAATAGCTAATCAGAATTAGCTGTGTCTAGTTGTGATTTCATCAATAGAATACTTCATCAAATATCTAAGCTCAGTGATAGTGAGATTAAAGACAATTCTGAACTAATGATGTCATCCAGTTTTCTTAAATATTTAATTTTGCTGCACCAACCAGTAGAATTTTACCGTTTTATATATTAAAAAAGAAAATATTAATGCTAGAATTATATGTATCAAATATGAGCCTGTGATTGACAAGTTAAGATAGGAAGGATTACATGATCATATATATGAATTCTGATACAAAACATCATCATTATTTATTACTCCCTTTTCAACCTTTTTTCAGAAGACCGAGTCATAATTATTCTTTATAACACAGACCATTCCAGAATTGAGTCTCCAAACTCAGAGATGTTATTCTGTGAGCTAGGATGAGTAAACATCATTTTAATGAAAAAAATGTTCTCTCTCTATATATGTGTGTGTGTGTGTGACAATAACTTGGGAGAGACTGCTGCATAATTAGAAAGATGACAGTCAAAGAACAGACTGGTAGACCGATGTAGCTGACTGAACGTAATCTTTATTGCTGGACACAAACTAATTATTGAAAACATATTTTTCATCACACATTATTATGGGCATAACACGCAGGCCACAATTATCAAGAGTTTATCAGTATCACATTTTTAATAATAGCATAATTAACATACAACAAAGCACAAGCAAAATGAAATGTTGTCCAAGCGGCCACTGAGCTGCAAGCTAACTGCACAGTTACCCAATATGGCAGTCTTTCATCAATAGAATATATATCAATAGAAGAGAAAGGTTTTGGTTTAGCTTAAAAAAGTTTCAGTTCAGTTGGCAGAGTTGCCAACTCTCAACTGATTTAGGCAGGAGACTCCCGATTTTCGACCACTCTCTCGCCAACCCGATTTACAATATATTTCTCCAGACTTTTTCTTATTCTTAAAATTTCTCACGATTTTTATTGAACTTGGCTTAATACTTCGTTACATGAACAAAAAAGAAGTGATTTTGGACGTCTGAAAGCAATTGAATTTTATGTCGATTATATATCTAAAACAAAACCTTGTGAATCAGATGAGGATTTCTGCTTTGTGAGTGTATCCAGAAATGTCGTTCTCCAGTTCTCCAATGGGCATTGAGCTCCACTTCGTGTCATCTGGCATATATTAGCCAACGAGCACAGAGCAAGCTCAAGGCTGTTATTTGGATGTTCTTTAGTTATTTCGTTCATCTTGTCCTGAGTTGTGTGAGTACACGTGCCTTCGGAAAATAGTTTTAGAAATTATCATCTTTTGTTATGTCTTCGAAAAGGTGAAATACTCGTGTACGTTTAAAAAATCGTACACAGTTGACTTTCCTTCCGTTATTTCCTCAAGGAAATGTAATAAATTTGCGATATGTAACGCCTGTCATTGCGATTTTTCGATTTCGCATCGTGGAAGGGCGGATGTTCTCAAACATGTGCGTACACAAAAACACAAGGACAACATGAGTTGTTTTGAAAAAAACGAAAAACTAAATTTTTTCTTCGGAAACAAAGGACCAAAAAGTTATTAATGCAGAAAGTCTGTTCTCTGCCTTTCTACTGGAGCACAACCTGCCACTGAATGCATCGGATCACGCTGCAGCTTTATTTAGAAAAATGTTTCCTGATAGTGAAATCGCTAAGAAATACTCAAGTGCAAAAACCAAAATAGGTGCAATTGTTAAAGAAATGGGTTCAAAAAATAAATCTTCAGTTATTGAGTGAATTAAAACAGCTCCGTTCTGCCTCTCTACGGATGGAAGCAATAATACTGATTCAAAACTGCATCCAATTGTTGTTTCTTTTTTTAATACAGAGTCTTCAGAAATTGAGTGCAGTTTACTTTCTGTCCCCACTTTAGAAGGACATTCGACAGGCTTTAATATAGTACAGCTCATTGTTAAAACTTTAAAAGAAAATGCAATCCCTCTGGATAATTGCTTAGCACTTGGTGCCGATAATGCACCAGTAATGGTAGGCTTGAAGACTGGTGTTGCGGGCATCTTAAGAAAGGAAAATTCAGATTTGCAGATTATGGGGTGCACCTGTCACCTTTTAAATTTAGCAGCTGAAAAAGAGTCAGCTTCTTTACCAATAAATGTGGATGAACACATTGTTGATATTTAGTATTATCTTGAAAGGAGTTCTAAAAGGAAGAAAAAATTGAAACAGTTCCAGCTGCATAATACTGAAAGGAGAAAATTTTTTAAACATGTGTGTACACGCTGGCTGTCATTAAAGAAATGCTTATCTAGAACCCTCGATCAATGGAACCTAATTCTTGCATTTTTTAAAAAAGAAGTAAATGCTTCGAGAGTTAAGATAAAAGGCTCTATTGAAAGTTATAAAATATCTAAAGTAAATGGAGCTGTAGTTATTACTTCCATTGTTAAAAATAGGTTTGATAAAAAAAAAAAAAAAAAAAAAAAAGAGTAATTTTTGCACCATTCAGCAATTTAACTGGCAGTTCTCAAAATAATACTGCAAAATATAAGCGTAAAATTAATACAGTCAAAAGTTGTTAATCCGGACTCGTTGGGACTTCGGCGATTCCAGATTATCGATTTTTTCCAGATTATAGATCATCAGTTTAAATCTGGTAAGATGGCATGCAGAAATCATAAAATTAAAAATATGAAACCGTAATTTATGAAATAAAGAACAATTATGATCTAAAGGGTATCAAAATTTACAAAAAAAAGCTTAATATTTATTTCTTTACTTTATTAAATATTTCTTTCAATGTAAGTTGTTTAAGTTGCTTCCTTTTTTATGTGATAATACTTTCTCTTTAATTCTATAAACAGACATAATTTCTTGTTCAGTTACAAAGTTCCACTGTTCAAGTCCTATAATTGCTGTGTCGAGAATACCGACTAATTTGTCAATCGAAATTCTTTCGTTTTGGAAGAAAGTGACCTCCGTGTCACTTTCTTCGCTATCGGAAGCGAATTATAATGACGAGGAATTTTATTTAAATCATATCAAAGACGGAGTACATCGAGATGAAATACTACATTTAGTAAGGAATTATAAGCCAAATAAAATGAAAACATCTGCCCTGATGATAAGGATAGTGCTGACAATCAACTTCCAGTTCGTTGCGCGCCGCAACGTTCCCCCCCCCCCACACACACACGCAGAGCAGCGTGAAATTGATAAACAGATTTCGGAATGGTTAGATAAACAAATCTATTATCCTTTATTAATTTTTTGCAGCAATTCCACTTTTGTTTAATAGACTTCGAAACATACTTTCGCTTTGTAGATCCTTTACATATTAGTACATATATATCAGAAATTCTATTTGACATAATCGAAAGTTCAAGCTTACTTTTATAAAATTGCTCTAACAGTCTGCAAAAAATAATAAGCCGGATCCAATTCGAAGATTAAGGAACAATGCAATCTGCAACATTAACTGAATTAGATAATTTTAGCTTAGCTTATACCGCCCGTTATACATAAAACGCGCATTCGTAAACATATTTGCGCATGCGCACATGCATATTCGCAGCCGCAAATGTCTTACGTCATTAGTCATTAGTCAATGCGACGCATGCACAGAAAGTTTGTAGCTTTGAGGTCCAGATTATAGATCATTCCGGATTATGGGTGTCCGAATTAACGACTTTTGACTGTACAAATTTCTCTCAAAATAAAAAAATTGCTCAACAGATGAAACATTTTCCAATTACTGTACACTTATCTTGTGAAGAAGGAATATTTATGTTTTTCTCTTCGGACCTTAGCAAAACTTTTGCTTTTTTTTACTATTCATTTTGCCATCATTCGATGTTCTTAACACAGTTCTACAAAGCAGAATTCCATTAATTCATGTTTTGCAATCAATGATTTATGATCTGTTTAAAGACATTTTATCAGAGCTTGTAAAACCAGTCTGTGTTTTGTCTTGTAATTCTATATATGATATGATTTATGGTGAAATAGAAAATCAGATTTGGTAATAGGAGCTGCAACTACAAAAGTAGTGGAAGAACTTTCTGAAGAAGACAAAAATAAGTTTTATCTTCATGTTACAAGTTACTTCTGTCGAGTATGTGATTACGTACTACAGTCAAAAGTCTTTAATCCGGACTCGTCGGACTTCGGCGATTCCGGATTTATAGATCATCAGTTTAAATCTGGTAAGATGGCATGCAGAAATTATAAAATTAAAAATATGAAACCGTAATTTATAAAATGAGCAATTATGATCTAAAGGGTATCAAAATTTACAAAAAAAAGAAGCTTAATATTTATTTGTTTAATTTATTAAACATTTCTTTCAACGCGCGCATGCGTAAAGCATACCTTACGCATAGCCGAAATTAGAAAATTGCAACCAGAAAACTATTTGATTTGTATTCGTGATATTTATAATGACGAGGAATTTGATTTAAATCATATCAAAGACGGAGCACATCAAAATTAAATAGTACATTTAGTAAGGAATTATAAGCCGAATAAAATAAAAACATCTGCCCTGAAGATAACGATAATGCTGACAGATCAACTTCCAGTTCATTGCGCGCCGCGACGTCCCCCGCCCCGCGCAGAGCAGCGTGAAATTGATAAACAGATTTTGGAACGGTTAGATAAACAAAGGATAAACCTTTATCCATTTTTGTAGCAATTCGTTTTTTGTTTGATGGACATCGAAACATACTTTCGTTTTCTAGATCCTTCGGGAGCTCCAGCATCGGAAATTCTATTTGACATAATCGAAAGTTCAAGCTTACTTTTATAAAATTTCTCTTACAGTCTGCAAAAAATAATAAGCCGGAGGGTTTTCATCCGCAGAGAACCCGTTGGCGCTTCGGGAAAGAACCCGTTGGCGCCATTGAAATTTTTACTCGTCAAGCTCGCGGTTCATCCTCGATGAACCGAGCCGTAAACGTGATTTTTAGTGCATGTAAATTCAAGTTAGCAAACAAAACAATATATTAAGCATATGGTAGTAAAAATTCACAGAGAATAAGCATGTAGATGTAAAACTAACCGGTTAAATGTGATATACGAAAATAAACCTGTCTTTTTCATAATACATTTCACAATACAAATAACCTTCAACAGTAATCAAATTTTCTTCAATAGCATTGTTAAAATAAAGCTAAAACTTTATACATCTTATTATTTTTCAAGTTATTTGAACTGTATTCCTTACACCAGCAGTGGTTTGCTAATTTTGATGACCATGGGGATGCATCGAACTACTCTGTCATCTTAGATAATCAATAATATTTTTTATTTCAATTTAATCAGCTATTTATGTCGCACCTGCCATCCTCTGAAAAGTTATTCTTAGAAAAGCATTAAGAATATAGTATCTTGATAAAATTTTACGCCATAAAAATTGGAGCCAAGAACTGGCATCTATCGATGAAAACTTCTTTAATTATACGAAAATATTTCTATCTATTCGTTGTTAAAAAATAACGTGGAAAATAGGAAAAAATAATAATAAATAAGAGAAGAATATAAATCTCCAAATGCGAACAACGACAGTGAGATAATCAACAAAATGAACGCAAGAGAAATGGTTGCAACCTTCACACAAGCAAATAGAATGAAACCGATAGGTTACCAGGTTTGAACTATTATTGCCAAAGTTGGCGATGTTTACATTTACCGGGTTCTCTGCGGAAGTGCTTCCAAGCCGGATCCAATTCGAAGATTAAGGAACAACGCAATCATCAACATTAACTGAAATAGATAATTTTAGCTTATACCGTCCGTTATACATTAAACGCGAACGCGAAAACGTATTCTGCGCTTGCGCAGACGCATATGCGCAGTCGTAAATGTCTTGCGCGCACGCGTAAAACGCCTATGAGCACGCGTAAAACGCCTATGAGCATGCGTCAACGCGGCGCATGCGCAGAAAGATTTTAGCTTTGAGGTCCGGATTATGGGTGCCCGAATTAACGACTTTTGACTGTACATAAATTTCCAGTCAACGATGAAGTGATTTTGCATGCTTAAGTTGCTGCTGTTTCTGCTCTAGCAAATGCATCTTTTTCTGATATAAGGTACTTTTTGAACAGATTTCCTGTTACTTCATTTAATGAAAGATGATGATATTGATGTTGCCACTGATAATATTGCAGTTGCATTTTAGAATTTTGATCAATTCAAGTTTTCTAATTGTTTCACAATTAGAAAACTTGAATGAAGTTATGAAATCAGCTAGGATTGACACCCAGTGGAGTTTAATTAGAAAACTGAAAGGTAATGATGGAATTTTAAAATATAGTGAACTGGCTAGAATTATGTTGGCCATCTTGACAGTTCCCCATAGTGTGAGAGGATTTTCAGTGTTGCAAAAACAAGGACTAAACTTAGATCTAATATTAGTGATGACACAATAGAAAAATTTTTATTAGCGAAAACAGGCCTACATGGCAATTGCTAGGAATAAAATTATGGAAAAATCTGCCACTGTTCATAACATTTGTACGAAAACTGATTAAAGTGTCCCCCCCCCCTTTTTTTTTTTTTTTTGTTTTGTTTTTTTTGTTTTCGTTTTCTTAAACGATGCAAGTAATAAAAATGTTTTCCATGTATAAGGCATTTTTGTGTTGCTTGCATTTAAGAATTAGTAAGTATTTAAAGTCATTATTAAAAACTATATTTTTATCATTTAAAAAGTCTTTAACATTGTGAAAAATCTCCTGAGTTGGTTTAGGTTAGAAAGAGTTATATTATCAGCATTGCGCAGGCCAAGCAAGAAGGAATGATCTAGAAATGATGCAATCCATGGAAGTTATTAAGATTTTTAGATCAGAGAGGGAAGTTTAAATTATGATTTTGATTTACATATTTTTATCTTAGGTAAATGTACGTATATATATATATATATAAATACAAAAGCCTCTAAAATTAATATTAAATTGGAATCAAAGCAAGGAAATTCCTCAACAATATTAATAATTGCAACCATATATAAGGTTTTAACACAATATCTAAACAAATCAAAATTAAAATAAGAATTTATAGAACAAACTCTAAAAATAAAAATGCGAATGGGAAAATATACAAAATTATAAAAATAAAAATTAATATCTTTTTACTGCAACTCCAATTCAAAACTCATTAGGGGGAAATGAATTTGAGCTTCATAAAAGTCGATTAATATGTTTCAAAAACATGTTTCGTTCTCCTGGTCCATTTGAGATCAAAAAACGAAAAAAAATTTAATTAAATTTTCATTTCAGACATTAAAATCCATATAAAAACGAATCTGCAGCTACAGCGCAGGATGGTTTTTTTTTTTTTTTTTTTTGTTTTTTTTTGTTGTTGGTTTATTATTATGTTCCTTATATATACATCAGGAAATGTTTGATTGACATGCTAAGCGAAGTTGAATATCAAAAGCAGCATAATGTAGAAGCTGAAAGAATCATGCAAGAAAAGATACAAGGTACCAAAGAGAGATGGAGCACTTCAAATTTCAAAAAATATGACAGTGAGGATCTGGAAAGCAAATGCACAGCATAACAGAAGGGAGATCCTTTGAATTCAAGTGACAGGTATTAAAGCATATTGTTGGGAATCCTACACAGGACAGATAACTATATTAAGGAATAGATACTAGAGGCAGGAATGTCAACTGGTAACTATGCTGTATCTTACTATTTAAATGTGGAATATGTTGACATATATTTCATTGACAAATAAGCAAATGGGAATTTGTAGGAAACATAGCACTTATATAAAGAACAAATCCTAATCAGAAGTATATTTACTTCAATGTCGGTGATTATTTCATGTAAACCTAGTTCAGATTCATTAGTCCCCCCTCACATGCTTCTGACATCATTACCTATCTATTAGATACGTTGATTAAAAATAATATGAAAGAACATTAGTTCACGGTATGAACCTGCTTGGTTGGTATATTGTTTAGCACACTAATGGACTTGAGTTCAAAAACTGTGCTATCTTCTCCTCTTTATCGATACAATATTAACTTATCCTTAGAATATGTAAAAATAAGAAAATATATCTATATATCAATGATGAAAGCATTTGCAAATGCAACATTAAAAGTTGCAAGAAGAATGATATTCGGGTTGAAAATTGGTTTCATGGTTCCTAGGTACTTTTTCTAAAAATGTTGCAATTCATTTACTTTTCAGCAGAAAAACTCCAGTCCATTAAACATTGTTAGCATAAATTAAAAATGTACGAAATATATGCTAACTGAATTGTTTATGCTGCTGACAACGAAATTAAGTAGGTTTGGTTTTTAGTTAGTGATTAACGATTTAATCAAGGAAGTAGTGATTTTTTTTTCATGGCAGTCAATTAAATGTATATTAAAGTAGTACTGGTAGAACTTTTTTTAAAACATAAGAGAAGGAATGTCCAAGTATTAAAAACTTCGAATACAAGCCAAATAACATATAATGAACCAAAACTTGAATAAATAATATTAATATTGTATTATAAATAGGTATAAAAACACAGTTCCAGAGCTTACATTTTATCATTGCACATCACATGATCAGGCAGCTTATGCTGAGTTCTTCTGGCATGAGTCAGAAGTGATTCTCGAGATGTGTATTTCACACCACAATAGCATTTCCATTCAATTCCACAAGTCTTTTCATGATGTTTTCGCCACCAATCAAGGCCAAAACTTTTCTTGCATTTGGCACAAGAATATTTCTTCTCAGCATGCACTTTAGTAAAATGCTACATATAAATAAGAAATAAGAATTTAAAATGCAAAAATTAATTAAAACTATAATTTTTGAGCATAGTTCACAAGTGTTCATAATATAACGCAGTATAATCAGTAGTTATCCTTCAAACTACTAAAAACGTTAAAACACAACGCAATGCAAAGCTAAAGAGAAAGCTAATTTAGATATCTCAGTTGACACCGAACTAAACAACTCACAACAACAATAACTAAGCACCTGGCCCAGCAGATGCTTTCCCTTCAGCCTTAAATAGCTTCCAACTGCCGCCAGAAATTTCTAGTACTTTCTGCTTCTCAAGATTTCTAAAAAAGCAAAAAGAGTGTGGAAATATGGTTACAGCTAATACAGTGGTCAATTACATTTATTCAATTTAAAATACAAATTACCAAGATATCCATTTACTTAATGTTAAATGCACGCTTCTGTATTTTTATTTTTAGGGCAAACTTTCTCTTAAAATTTGTCTTGCACTGCATTGCATGTGGAAATACAATGATTTTAATTATAATTCTACTAAAATTACCTATCTAAATACAAAATTCATAAGAATATACAGTACAAAGTCTGTAATCCGGATGTCCATTATCCGGAATGATCTATAATCCGGACCTCAAAGACACAAACTTTTTTTTTGTATGGTTTACGCATGCGCGTTTAATGTTTACACATGTGCGTTTAGCACAAAAAACAAAGCAACTTGAACAACTTACATTGAAAGAAATGTTTAATAAAGTAAACAAATAAATATTAATCACTTGCGCTAAAAAGACATGCCATGCACATCGAGATGCTTTTGTCTCAAACCGCGAGCGACGTGAACACCACGTTGATAGGCATTTATCGCAAAAATGAAAATAACATGGTGCCACACGTCGCCTAACAACGAGATTGTTTATTTCTCGAGTTACAGCTCTGGATTGCACTCGCAGATGCGGAGCGGCGTAAATAAGACACTTTGCCGCTTGTTATATTGTAGCACATGGCACCCACAACTGTGAAATTTAGTCGTAGTGCAAGTGGTTAAGCTTTATTTTTGTAAATTTTGATACCCTTTATATCATAATTGCTCTTTATTTCATAAATTATGGTTTCATATTTTTAATTGTATAATTTCTGCATGCCATCTTACCAGATTTAAATTGATGATCTATAATCCGGAAAAACCCTTAATCTGGATTACGGACTTTGTATTGTATATTTTTCACTATAATCTCTTTGATTCACAGGGTTCATAGCCACATTTTAGTTAAAAAAAGCACCTTATAAGCACTTTTCAAGCACATTTTAAGAAAAAAAATAAGCACCTGTCTAATTGCATCATACACAACGGCATAACCTTAAAAATTAAAACTGTAATTAAAATATGAGAAATGAAGTACTTATTAATAGAACAACAAGCATTACCTCAACCATAAAAAATAATTACTTTTTTGTTTTGTTTTGTTTTGTTTTTTTAGTTTTAATAATGGTCAATTTACAAACTTGTTTACAATGAGAGAAAAAAAAAAACTATGAAGAACTAAACTTATATTACAAATTTAATGATGAATTTCAGTTCAAAATAGAGAAAATAATAATATAAGTATATTTATGTATTTGTTTGGAACCTAATATAAATACAATTTATTTTTTCCACTCATATTGATATTTAATATTTTTAAATCTAATTCTGAACATTTCTAAATTTTCATCGTATACCAGTTTTCTCTTAACAGATATTGCAGCAAAGTAATTTAAGTAAAAAAGGGAACATTCTTGTAATCAGAAGACAGAATTTGATTCATTCAGTCATCTTAACAGTAAAAGGTTAACTAACCCGCACACTGGGAAATTGGCGAATATTCGGACAGTCGAGCGTAACTTGAAGGAGCGGAAGGGGGGGTAGACTGTAGCCCGCTCTTTAGATTTTTCTGCCAAATAATGCTTTTGAATTTCAATATGTGCATCATATAAAAATAAACCAACGAAAGTAAAAATATTCTGCTTAGCAAGCACAGTAAAACTCTTGTAAGTGTTATAAACAAATCTCGGACTGACATTAAATCAAAAATTAATTATCTCTGCAAAATATCGCAAACATTATTGCGCAATCGTGCGCCGTAATTCTTCCCTACGTGATATTACGCAATCGGAATCAACCACTGCCGTATCGGGAGAATAAAGAACTAAATAACTGGGGTGTTTTTCATTCTAATTTTCAACAGATGGCGTTAAATTTCTGGAATAGAATCATTCTTCGCTTGGGTTGGTAGACTGCAGAACTTTTAGTCCTATTCAATCCAAAGTGACAAAAAAAAAAAAAGGGGTCTGTTGCTTGTTTTGCAGCGAACTGTAAAGGTTTCAATATTCAAGATTTTGCGGAGAAAGGCGAGACCTCCCAACCTTCGTACTGTATAATATATTGGCCAAAAAAATGAAATTATTTTGACTATTCGATTACTTTCCCTTTATTTAAGCCATTCTGAATATTATTCCTTAGAAAGCTAATCTGTGTTAAAACAGAACCATTTTTGGAAGTTTACTATACTTCAGCAGTTACTGCAACTATGTTATTATAAACATTCATACATATGCTCATAATATAAGCATAACGATCATAATAAACATGAATATGAACTGACCAAGCAGAACGAGAATGCAAATTTTTAAGATCTTGATAGAAATTCAAACGTGTATAGTATTTGGGTGGGAGAAAAAGAATGCCGAATGTAGCGGAATTTTCTACTGCTTTCGCAATTCTTTGACATTAGAAGGACGGGCACCTGTCTGTACTCTTCGTGCACACCAAAGGTTATGTTAATGCAGAGAAAGGGGGAAAAGCTATTTCCGGGAGTATGACTCACCATCTGACATTCCACATTAGGAAGAAAAGTTGTTTATTTAGTTTCGGCTTTGGTACCGGGAAGAATAGCGCATTCATTAAAAAAAAAAGCACTAAAAGCAAAAAATAAGCACCAAAAACAAAAAAATAAGGGCTTTAAAGAAAAAGGGCTAAAGATAAGGCTTTAAAGATAAGGGCTTTAAAGCACCTATAAGGGCCTTTATATTTTATTTTCAAATATAAGGACTTATAAGCACTTATAAGGACTGCTACGAACCCTGATTCATTTTTAACACAATACGCTGGAGACCAATGTACAACTTAAAATAAAAAAATAATATATAGAGATAAAAACATTAATAATGACAGAATGTTCATATTGGATCTCCTTGTTCCAAAGAATGATATAAATACTAAAATGCAAACCTGTTTCATTCAGAATTTTGCAAGGCCTGTAGTGCATTTGAAGATCAACACAGTTCTTACTAATATCTGACCTGAATGATATGGATTGTTGGCAGGACCAGATTTACATATGTGCTACACAAGCTATAACTTAGGACCCCCATTTTCTTGGGGACCCCCAAAAAATTAAAATATAGTATAGTGTTAAACTATATTATAACAGACTTATAAAGCTTTTAAACCCATATCTAAAATAGGTTAGGGCCTTATCAAGTCTAAATCTGGCTCTGATTACTGGTTTAACAAAATAACCTTAATCTGTTAGGTTCTGCCTAGCGTCATTTTTTTTCCTTGGACAAGCATGAAGGATAAAATCTATACAACTAAACAGTCCGCAAGATCCAGACACATTCCAGTTCTGGTGTTGTTTCTTACACTCTGACACGCTTCAGAGAACAGATCATTTGTTACAGAATAATTTATTATAATTTGTGCTACTAAAAAAGCACACAAGGATGTTGTGTACATATATTTTTTAAAGAATTTGATGGGTATTCCTTCCCCTCAATATGGATGGCAATGAAACTTAAGATTTTAAGATTTGCTTATTATAAATAATTTTGAACTTCTAGATATTTATGCTAGAAGCTTACTGTAATAAATTACTTTGAACACAATTTTTGAAATGATATGGATCTTTCATTGATTGTCAAATAGTTAGACTTCGAAATTGAAAACACTTTTTGTTATGCACTGCATAGAAATCTACTTTACAGTATGTACAACTTCCCTTATAAGAGTTTATTCTAAATAAATTATTAAAAAAAAAAGACAAAGTATTTTAAATTAAAATCCAATGTAACAAAGCAATAATAAAACTCTAACTTCACTATTTAAATCAAACAGAACACTTAATTCAAAAGGAACAAAAATCAGCGATATTATATAATTTGACAAGTCCACTAACCTTCGAAAGAAAAAGCTATATTTCATTGGGGAAAGAAAGAAGAAAAAGAATGAAAGAAAAGAAAATCTTAAAAGAATCAGATTAAAACATCAGACAAAAAGGTATTTTTTTATGCTGTGCACAGTTCAACAATCTGTTCTTGGACTGAATCCTGCTAAGAAAACTTTTATTATTATTTTATTATTGTTATTAAACATTACTTTTTTGCACTTATGCACACAAAATTCAACAGTAAAATTACAAAAAAAAAATTTTATAGCAACATATTTTTAGAATTCCTGTTTGAATGTTAATCATTGCCATACATTTTTCTAATTTTTTCAGTTCATCATATCAGTGTTAGATTTTTCTTAACAAAATAGTCCTTTTAATTTTTCTACTAAACATCACTTTCTTCACCCTTATGACACATAAAATTAATAGCAAAATCGCAAAATTTTAAAAGAAACCTATGTATAGAATTCCCAAAATCATGTTAATTGTTATCATTCATTTTTTGAGCCTTTTTTTAATTCAACAAACACTTTTTTCGTTTTTTTATTATTAACTTTTTGTCTTTTCAACTTTAATTAAACATCACTTTCTTCGCACTTATGCCAAATAAAATCCAACAGCAAAATTACAAAATATTTAAAAACAGCATATCTTTAGAATTCTTGCTAAAGTGTTTCATACTTTTTTTATATTTGCTATATTATTTCTTTAAAAATTAGACATAGTGATAACATTTGGTGGCAACATCCTTTTATTTTTACTGCCACACTTTTTTTTTTTTTTTTTTGGCTATATTGTTTCT